CGATCATAAATTACTATTTATTTGCACCAATAAGAAATTCAAGCACATCCTTTTTTTCGATAATATTTGTGTCTAACATTTTTTTAAAAATAATTAATAAAGAAACAAAATTGTTTAATAATGCTTTTTTTTTATTTTTATACTTAATATATTGTAATACATATTTCTATTATGAAAGTGATGAAAATTAACTAGAAAGTATGTCTGACTAAAACATTTTTTACTACTGATTTGTAAATTACGTTTTGTCTAATTATAGCTTATTTATACTACTGATTATAGTAAATTATAGAATATATCATTTTGTCTGACTAAATCTTTTTTATACTACTGATATTATTTTTACAAAAAATTTAACCTCTCGTCTGACTAATTATGTCCATGACTACTGATAAATTTTATAAATTTAAATTCTATATTACCATCAATGAAGTTATAAAAATTTATCAAAAATATTATGTCTGACTAAAAGTTTTTTATACTACTGATTTGTAAATTACATATTTTCGCTTATCAAAATTGTCGTCTTTTATGATAAAATTGAAAAATCAGAAAAATTGGACTGCAACTCACACATTTATTGCAGGTACTATAAATTGAAAAAGCATAACTATTTTGTCTGACCATAGCGTGTTTATACTACTGGTTCGTAAATTACACGACATTAAACTCGTGTTCCTGCCTGAATCTGTCTTTTACTACTTGTGCAATAATTAAAGGAATTCTAAACTACTTGTCTCACCGGTGAAGGCTTTTACTACTGGTACTATTTGTCTGACAAAAATGTCTTGTACTACTAATAATTATTGACAAAGCATAACCGTTTTGTTCTTATTCCACTACTGATGCTAATAATAAAAAAATTACAAAAGTTAAACTTTAACTGCATATATTCTATTTAAATTAAAATTGTCTGACTAAACAACTCTTTTACTACTGATTCTAAAATAACAAGGTGAAAAAAAGTAAAATTAATGATAAATAATAATAATAATAAATAAATAAATTTATTATACTACTTATAATTATATTTCAATTATATTTTTCTGCATACAGTTCCAAGATAATGAACTACTTGTCTGACTAAAAATACCTTTAACTACTGATTACAATATAAGAAAAATTTTCTTCTCCTTTGTCTGACTAAAAATGTTTTAAACTACTTATAATTACATTTCAATAAATTTTTCCAATTTTTTTTTATTTTCCAATTTATTTTAAAGTTTTAGTTTTTTTTTTTTAGTTTCATCTTTAGGGAATTAAAAATGTTCTACCAATTTTTTCTGATAAACAAACAAAAGAGTGAATTTTCGCTTTTTGAAAATCAGTGAAGAAATAGATAAAAAAAAAAAAAAAAAAATCATGTAGTAACATGTGTTATCAACAAGGATGATGTTGTCATTGGCGGATGTGGTTCTGTATACCATAGGTTGTGAGATCGGTATAACATCCTCCTCTCACTCTCTCCTCTCTTGTATGGATAACAGCTTGTCAACGAACAAATCGTTTCGGATCGAACACGCCAACACATTGTCAAGCCAGAAATATAGAACGTGCTTCGCTATATTGGTCGTCGTTCGTGCGCAAGCGATTTCGAGAGATAGAACAATTTATTATAGAGCTCAACAGCAAAGCTGCCTAACACACCAACTATCATTGCTACTAAATTTAAAGAACTGAAAAAAAAATACTTAACTTAGCATACTTGTCAAAATGGTTCATTTCAATAGTATCAAAATTGACTAAAAAATTCAAAACTAACTTTTTGTACGCTAAATATGAATTAGTTAAAAATAGTAAAAAGTAGTAATTATTAGTAAAAAGCAACTAATTTTCGCTTCAGTAATTAGTAAAAAAATAACTAATTATTATTAAAAAGCAACTAATTTTCGCTTCAGTAATTAGTAAAAAATAACTAATTATTAGTAAAAAGTAACTAATTTTCGCTTCAGTAATTAGTAAAAAAATAACTAATTATTGTTAAAAAGCAACTAATTTTCGCTTCAGTAATTAGTAAAAAATAACTAATTATTAGTAAAAAGTAACTAATTTTCGCTTTAGTAATTAGTAAAAAATAACTAATTATTAGTAAAAAGTAACTAATTTTCGCTTCAGTAATTAGTAAAAAGTAACTAATTTTCGCTTCAGTAATTAGTAAAAAGCAACTAATTTTCGCTTCAGTAATTAGTAAAAAAAATAACTAATTATTAGTAAAAATTCATTAACGTTCACGTCAGTAATTAGTAAAAAAAATTACCTATTTAAATTAATAAAAAGTTTTTTTTTATATAATTTTTGTACGAGAAAAAAAATTTATATATACATTAATTCTTGAGCTTTTTCTATCTTCAAAGCTTTATTGTCGAAGAATCCTTCATTCCCGAAACGTTTCAAGTGATTCAAGTTGATGATGTATATATACAATAAGCATAGCTGTTTAAGTTGAGAAAAAAAAAACGCTCATCGTTATATTATTTGAACGCGGGGGAATTTTCAAGACCAAGTTCGCCATTATATAATAATTCTTTCTTCGAATATATTATCATCGTGTCGTCTCGCGAGACTCTTTTTTTTTATCTCCCATTAACACTGGGATTTTAAACGTTCTATATTTATGAAAAAAAAAAAAAAAAATGAAGGAAAGAAAGAGAGAAAAGGGGGGAAAATGAAAAAAATTTCTTGGTTAGTCACTCTCACCACACTAAAAGTGAGCCAAGTGTCTCTCGTAAAAAATGTAATATCAGATGCAATAAACCATTGAAAGACCGTGGAATACTTATAGTCGAAGACATTAAATGTAAAACAATGTCAGCATTTTGCTTTCAATAAGGGAAAAAAACCGATTTTATTCATATTCCTTGAATTAATAATAATTTTCCCTCAAAATGTAAAGAGAAATTTTTTTTCATAACTGATAATAATTTTGGAACTTTTTTTTACATTTTAAATTTTGCTTAGATAATTTTTTTAGTAAATTAGTATAATTAATTTTTTTCCATTATATTATTTTATACTAATATTTATTTTATTATTATTTAATTTTTATTTTATTTCTATATTTTTTTTTGCTATTTTTCTATTAATTAAAAATAAAATAAAAGGATCAATTGAGAAGAGGAATCTAAACATGATGAGAGCACTTTTATCTCTTGCTCTCTTTTTTTTGTGTCAACGAAAGAAATCTGATGAACACCTGTCTTTACAGTAAGGAACGGATTTCCAACTTGACAAGTGATCTAAGTACTGGATTAACTCGTTTTCTATCTAAGTCTAAGAATCTAAAGTACTTATGTGAACTATGTCACACTCTTGGAAAGTAAACTTCAAAATGAAGTGCGACGTTGGATTTTTTTTTTTGTTTTCTTTTTTTGACATCAAATCCAGTGTGAAGAATCTAATGGCAATGTAGTAGTGAATGTCTAGAAGCGTAATAATAATGGTGGGTCAGAACAAGAGTAATAGAAGTTAGAAGTAGTACAAAAAGAAATGTACGAAGAAAGAGAAAAATATCTAACCAAGAAATGCCTGAGCCACAGCGTCCAAACTCACCTACGTTATCGATCGATTCGAAACTAAGATTAACTGCTTCATCGTATTTTTCGTATGACGGGATGATGCTGCAAAAAAAAAAAATTCTGAGGTAAAATATAAAAGTTTAAAAATATACTTTTTTTGTATTACGCTGTAATATTAAAAAAAAAACATACAAAATTTTAATGAATCAAAAAAAAAGATAATAATAATCAAAAAATAAAATAAGAAATATTTATATTATTTATTAAAATATTAATTTTCTTGCTTCAAGAAAATATTTCTTTAGTAAATTTTAAGGCAATTTTTTTCTAAATAAGATTTGTTTAATAACAAATTTATCTTTTTACATTTACTTAAATTTTTTTTTTATTAACAAAACAAAACTATTTTATAAAAATTAAAAACTCCTAACTAAATAAATAGTAAATTGTAATTTAAAGAGGAGATTAAAAAAGAAGTGAAGGAAAAGTTGTAATTTATTAAAGCGGAAATATTAGAATAATTGTAATAAGAAAATAATTGATCAATTTAATTTAAATAATTATGGCCCTTTTAATATATCTATGCTGACATCTAAAGTAAAACTCTTGAAACTATAGAGGGTGAATTTTCCCCTAAAATCAATAAATAGCTGGAAGCAGAACCAGTTACTATTTGTAGTTAACATTTTACCATCACAAGGTATGAAATTTCTAGATATGATACAATTGTGTAATGTATTTTTAGTTGTCGATAATTTTCAATAAAAAAATAGATAAACAAATTTTAATAAAATATACAAAAATTTAAAAAAATTTAAAAAAATTATATAAAAATAGAAATGAATAGAAAAAATTGTTATTAACAAAAAATTATGAATTCCATTAACAATTTATTTTAAAACTTTTACTTTTTTTTTTTATTTGATTAGCTAAAGTTCTTTCTTTGTTCGTTTTATTAAAATAAACCAAACGTTTGGTTAGACAAAAAAAAAATATTTGTTTGAACTAAACAAATGTTTAAAGTAACCAAAAAATTATATATTTGGTTTAAACAAAATATACAAAAAATTTTAACAACAACAAAATAATTTTTAATAAAAATAAATAAATAATAAAAAAAAAAGAAAGATAATAAAACAATAACACAAAAGAAATAAAATTCAACTAAAAAATCAAGAAGATAAAAGGACATCAAAAAAGAAAATACAAAAAAAGCAGAGAAGAAAAAGCAAAAAGAAAGTTAGATATATATAAAAATATGAAATAAGAAAAGAAAAACTAGAATTGAAAAAAGAAATAAGAATAAACATGAATAATATAAAACAGAAAAAAAAATATAAAGAAAAAAAGAAAAAAGTCGTAAAAATGGAAGCAGAAAAGGAAACAAGGAATTCTAAAGAGAAGAAAATATTTTATAGATAAAATAATTCTAGAGATATTTCAAAAATGAAGGATTGAATTATGGAATAAGAAAAAACAAAATAGTATCTAACATTTAAGTTCTATTTGACATCGTTCAACGTATTTACATTTAAAAAAACAACTAAAGAATCGTTCTTAATATATAACACACGTATTTACAACCTCCCTGAGACTTATACTATATATTGAAATATACAATTTTTTTTTCTGCTCTATGTACAATTATCATAATTTTTCTTAACACATTAGGCATTTAAATATTTACATTATTATAATACTTATACAATATTTTTTTCACATTAAGGGATTTATAAATAATATCTTAACACATATATTCTCAAATACAAAAAGAAAACAAAAATTAAAAAAAAAAAAACAATACATCTTTATCCAAATTACATAATTTGTTCATTTGTATTTCCCATCCATAAATTTTTTTTTTAGCCCTCTAATCGAAAAATATTTTTCTTTATAAATACATTATGTTAAGTAAAATAAAAATCATTTCATTGAAGAAAAAAAAAACGAATTTCCTCAATCCTTACACGATATTTTAGAACGAATTTTCCTGTCTTTTTCCTTTTCTGTCTTGTTCTTTCAAAGATATTTCTAAAGAGACAGTGGAGACGAATTGCCGTTGAAAAATTGAAAGCATAAGAGAACGCAATGTTCGAACATTTCGCTGAAATGCAACACGTGACGTGGAAGACAAATGTGTGTCAGTAGAAAACGATTCTCTAAATATATCCTGGAGATCTGCGAATTTAAGATATAAAAGATATTTTTTTTTTTTATATGACAAAAAAATTATTGATTGATCGCCTTATTTATAATATAAAACATATTTTGTAAATTAATCGCATATTTTAAATAAATTTTCTATTATTTATATAGCAATATTGTGACCAAATTTTTCTTTTCTTTTGCCAAAATCAATCATCACAAAATATCAATTTTCAAATCATCGAATATTGATAAAACTTTTATATATATATATTTTACAAGTTTCCACTTAAAATTAAATTGAACTAAAGTTTCTAAAGTGGAGATTCACTAACTATAAGCTCTTTTTGATGTATCTTTCAGATAGTATAGGTACGAAAGTTTCTAAGAGAATGCAAATAATTAAAGTAATCTTCCAGGATTTAGTATCAATGGAACTTGAAACATAAAAATCGTTATAATCATTTCAAATGTCTAGGAATTAAATGAAATGTTAGAAAAATTAAATTAATTTCATGGCAATTGTTAAAGATTTAAGAAACCCAAAAAAAAGAAGTTTTTATAACTTTTATCGTGTCTACGTTGACAATCTTAAAAGCATAATTGCGGCAATTGTTGACATTGCAAGATTGAAGTAATTGGAAGAGGCAGTCGCTGATGGGAAGTCATTCGTCTCGTCACTCATGTCTTCTTCGGTTAATGCTGCTAAATCCTTTATTCCAGCTGAATGCTTTTCATGACCGTAATCCATTTTCCAAGGCTTTTTCGAATCTCTTCTTGAATTTGGCCTTCTTGTTGCGGGTTTTGCTATTTCTGCAAAATAATGTACAATATTTTCAAAAATTTCTATTATATATATTTATAATAATATTCATTTTCGTATTTAAAAAAAAATTTACTACAAACTATTTTTACTGATAATATTCAGAAGAGAAGAATTTATAATGTTTTTGTCTGACTAAAACTGATTTTTATCACTGTTAGCGAAATTAAATGAATTTGATAAGATTATGTCTGACTGAAACTTATTTACACTACTGATTTTTAAATGACAAGAATTTAAGTCTTAATTTCTTTTACTACTTTTATCACTTTTGCCATAATAACAAAAAGTGGACAAAGTTAAACTACGTCGGACTCAAACTTGTTTTTACTACTAATTTTCAAATTAGTTAAGAATTTAAAAAGTTTGGTCCTACCAGAAATGTCTTTTACTATTTTTATTATTTGTGACACTTTTACCAAAATCATTACAATTTTTAAAAATTATGTCTGACTAAAGCTGGTTTTTACTACTGATTTATAAATTAAACAATATCTTAAAACGTTTTGTCTGACCAAAACTGTATTTTACTACTGATGCTAAAATTGGAAAAATCTCAAAACTTAACCTGCAAAAAACTTCTCGTATAAATAAGCGCATAAAACATAACCACTTTGTCTGACTAAAACTTTTTCATACTACTGATTATAAAATACACGTTTCAAACGTTTTGTCTGACTAAATCTGTGTTTTACTACTGGTACAATAATTTTTAAAATTTTACTACTATTTTACTACTGATGCAAGAGCAGCAAAAATAATTTTAATAATTTGTCTGATTAAAATGTCTCTTACTACTAATAATCAAGAAAATATAACACAAGTCTGACTAAAGTTTATTTATACTACTGATTTTTTTTAAAACCTTTTGTTTCAGTAAATATTTTCTGTACTACTGAAATAAAAATAAGAATTTAAACCATTTGTCTGACTGAAATGTCCTTTTTACTACTGATACTAAAATAATGCGAATTTTAAATCTTCTGTCTGACTAAAAATGTATTACACTACTAATAATTTATCTACCTATTATATATTACTATTCGAATTCAAAAACTTATATGAAATTCCTGTCTGACTAGAACTTATTTACACTACTGATTATAGTAGTAAAATTACAAAATATTATGTCTCATTTTGTCTGACTAAATCTTTGTTATACTACTGATAATATTTTTACAAAAATGTAAACCACTCGTCTGACTAATTATGTCTATTACTACTAATACCATAATTCCATAAAAAACAAAATTCCGTTAATAAAGTTCTAAAAATTTACCAAAAAATTATGTTTGACTAAAACTTTTTTATATTACTGTTTTGTAAATTGTTTTGTCTGATCAAAATTTTATTCTACTTAAAAACAAAATTGAATACAAAAATTTCACTGCAATTCATTTTTATTATAGGTACTATTAATTTGAAAAAAAACCGTTTTGTCTGACCATATAGCGTGTTTATACTACTGATTAATGAAACACGCACGTTTCAAACGTTTTGTCTGACTCAATATGTCTTTTACTACTGTCACAATAATTATTAAAATTTAAACCGTTTTTACTCCTCATCCTACAGCAATAAAAATAACTTTTATTGATAAAAATAAATTTCACATTTACTTTTATTTTATATAAAGTGAATTAAGTTCATCGAACCAATTGGTATAATTTTTTTTCCAATGATCTTTGTTTCTCGAAAATTAACTTGTTCAAACTGAAATCATACATGACAGTACTCGCTCTCGCGAGATGCGAGATATTAAAAAAAAAAAAAAAGGATTTTCAACTGTCAAGTTAATGAACAGGTATATAGCCTTAATAATAGCTCATGTTACAAGCACCTGGGGGAAAACAATCAGTCGAACGAATGGACTTTCTGCCATACACAGAGAGTTTGAAAATGACAAATTGGAATGTCATTCTGACAGTTTGGCCAAGCTTAAGCGTTAGTGTCATTCACACGCTGTGGTTAATGTGACGAGACAGGTTTATTAAGTGTCCGCGAATAAATTAAAATATCGTAACGATAATTTCATGATTCATGAATATACTACATTTTTTTTTTTTTGTCGAGTCTCGCTAAAGTACTCGTTTTGTTTTAATTTAAAGTACATACATAAAATATATTGAAAATTATTTTCTCATCATTATTATAGAATGTATTAAAATATTTTCCTAAAAAAAAAACAATCATTTCGAAAAAATATAGTTTACCCCTTTTTTTATAAAATAAAAATCTATTTTTTTGAAAAAAAAAATTTCATATTTTATATTTTATCGTTATATTATTCAGGTGTAAATTTTTTATTTTTTATATACTTTCCAACTTTTCTATTTTTATACATTTTTCATATAAACAAGGGGTAAAAAAAAAAAAATTCCTGTTTTTTCTCGAATCCTGAATTTTGAAGGAATTTTAAAAGAGACAAGCCATCCTTTCTTTCATAAGCCGGTACAAGCTTCTAATTAGAAACTCTCGGGCAATTAACGTTGTAACGAACGAGCAGAGCTTATTTCATTGGACAAAGAATCGTGACTTAAAATTATAAAGGATTGTTTCCTGACAAAATAACTTTTATTTTTTAAGTCATTTTTTTTGTTTTAATTTTTTAAAATAACTACATTTATATTTTTTTTTATATACAAATTTAATTAAAATATTAAATAATAATATAAATTAAAATATATTATATATAGTTTATTTGAAAATCTGATAATAAATTCAAATAATTTATTCAAAACGCACCAAGAATAATGGAATAAAAATTAAAGAGAAAAGAAATGAAAGTGAAAAAAAATCAATATTTTTTTAATTATTAGAATGAATTTAATATACTTACTGTAGAGTTTAATTCTGCCATCGGTTTCTCCAAGAGAATTCGTGGAAATACATTTAAATGAACCAAAATCTTGTGGACGCATCGATAAGATGGACAGCTTCATTACAACCTTGTAACCCGAGGGCATCGTTTCAATTTTATAATTGTTATCTGTAAATAAATATTTTGAAAATTAATAACTAGTTGTTTTAACTTTGTAATCAATTTAATTAATCAATAATTAATAAATTAATGTTGAATAAATATAAATTCCTAATTAATTCATAATTAATTTTAATTAATTAATTTTAATGTACATTAATTTATTAACTAATTTATAATTAATGAATAATTATCAACAATAAATGTTTGTGTGATTTTTAAATAAAATTGTTATTAATCAACACTAACCGCTCACGAGAGTATCATTAGTTGGTTTGGTCCAGTAAGTGATAGGTCTAGGAAAAGCTTCACTGTGACATTCGAGAATAAGTGCTTGTCCTTCGTAAGCTCCCACTAACTGATTTTCAATCCAAACCATTGGTGGAACTGTAAAAAAACAGAGTCTTTAAAAATATTTTCCACCACATTATTATTTTCATCTTGATATTAAGTGAAAAGAAAAATTTATTTTAATTCAATTAATAATCGATAAAATAATCTATTATCAAATAAAAATTATTTCATTTAAATTTTGTATTTATTTGATAATAATTATAACTTTTCGAATAATTTCAATAAATTACTCTATTAAAAGGATTTATTATTAGATTTCATTTGAAATTTATTTTTGATACGAACAATCTTTTAAAGAAAAGTCATTTTTTTTTTTTGTTACAAATTAAAAATACTATCAATATACAGTCTCATTTAAAAATCATTAATTAAAAAATTATACGTTCTTTTAATATACATAAAGAATAAATGTAGATCATTCTCTAATTTGTTTCCACGTCAATCAATCTCGATAAAATTGGATTTATAGAATTTATTGCATTACTTAAAAAAGGAAAATAAAAAGCGATGTATTAAAATAATTTTAAATTTTAATTCTCAATATCGATATGTTAAATATAAAATTAGAATTTTAATCTATAAAAATAACAAAATCATGAATACATCAATAATATATAATTAAAATTTATTTTATTTTCATCTTTTATTTCCAGTTCTGCATTAAAAATAGTTATTGCAAATTCGATATTATTTAAACCAATTTTTTTTTAAAGAACTTATTAATACTATTAATACTATTAATACTATTAATACTATAATTACTATAATTACTATAATTACTATAATTACTATAATTACTATTAATACTGTACTATAATAACTGAAATTAGTAAAAAAAAATTTATGAAAATATTTTGAGGGGAAGAAAATTTATGCAAACAATATTTTAAGATAATGATAAATATTATTCGTATCATCTTAAACGAAACATAAATTTATAAAGCAAAATAATTGTTTCTCTCGTGCCACTTGAGAATTTTGAAATTATCAAGGGGGGTTTTCGACGCTAATATCATATTCTCTCTAGTCGCGCTTGAAAATTGTGAACGGCGCGCATAGTGAAACTTTACAACTAGTCTGAAAAGTTTAAATCCCATTATTTTCGAAAACAATGCTACTTTGGGTATAATTCATTCACACGAGAAAGCAATGTGCGTTTGCATTCCAACTAGCGTCGTTAGCTGAGATGAGCCTCTAGCAAGTAGAGAAATTACATTTTCGAGCATGCGTGCTATTTTATCATACTATATATATATATTTGACTGTTTCATTACATATATACATATATATAATAAAACAGTGAAATACTTGTGGTTGTGTGAAGATGAAATAAAAGGGGGGGAGAGTATGATACTTTATGGATTATATACCTACAGTGAACAATGAGAACAATTCGCTTGCTGACTGTTGGTGGCACTCCATTCGAAGCAATACAAAGATACGGTCCCATATGTAGACGACTGACATGTGTTATTTCCAGTTCTGGTCCTTCGATGCTTGCCACTGCTGCAACAACAAATCATATTTCCATGAACGCACTTACATAAGCCACTATTCCATTAATCTCACTAATGAGACATCCTACCAAATAATCAATTATCATGGACTTAAAATTATTACTGAACTGTTATACAATTACAGTTATTATGTTACCCTCTCATTATTTCATTAACAAATATATAAAAAAAAACTTTATATGACTACGCTCCGAAATATAAAAAAAAAGAATCATCAAATATAATATGTAACTAAAAAATATTTATTATTTTCTAAAATTCTTTAGTTTAATAAAATGGTACAATTAATATTTTTATATTATAATATTTATAATTAATAATTTTCATTATTCGCAATTATTTTAATTTTTAATTTACGAATTTAATTATTCTTTCATCAACGTAAAAGTTATTTTAATTAAATAATTAATGTACATATTATTGGAATATGAACAATGAAAATCTTCTTATAAAATATTCAAAATTCCATTAATTATGTAAATAATAATTTATTAAACAAAAATGACATATTAAATTTAATACAATTTACTTCTTCATTATAAATTGATATTGAATTTTCAATTATTATTTCAAATGTTATAATGACAGAAAATATATATAAAATTAATTAAATTAATAATAAATTAGAAATTTATTTTGTCTACATAAATATTATAATAGTAAATAAAACAGAACTTTTGTGAATTTGTTGCGAATCGAAATTTTTGCAACCTGCCATTAAGAGTTTTCTCATCAAAAGATTTTGCTTAACACGACATAGTTTTCTTTTTTTTTTTTTTTTTTTTTTTTTATTTATAGTAAAAGGTTCTCTTAATCGTTTTGTTAAAACTCTAATACTGAAACTCATTATCACTTTTAAACAGAGAAAACGAGAACAATTAAGTAACTCTGATGAAGTGCAAAGTTCTTTATGTATATATGTGTATAGAGATTTTTCCCCCTTTTAGATGATGATGTTTTTTTTAGAGGATTTTAAAACTCGAATAAGATTGAGTATCCTTTTCAAAGTGCTTGAATGTTAATTTATTTTCAATATAAGAAACAAAAAAAGAAAAAGGTTAATTATTTGGAAAAGTAAGATATCTTTTTAAAATTCTATATAAATTCTTTCTTTATTCTCAGAAAATTTATATTTCAAACTTTTTTCACTAATTCATTGCAATTTTATCTGTAATTCAATAAATTTGCTAGAATTATTATTAAAAGAATAAAAACTTAATTATTCGAAAAAATGACCTAATTATTTCATTACATTATTTCTTAAATACACCAATTTCTTTTAATTATAATTATTATCATATTATTGTAATTATATAATTTTAATATTATCATAAATTAAAAAATATTTTTTATAATATAAATTATTTTTTTTTGTTAAATTATACACTGCTATAATATTTAATCATTACAGTTATAATGAATCCATCGAATTAATAGATTAGTTCACATTAAAATAAATATCTCATTTATATTTATACAGGGGAAAAAAAATAAGATTTTACTAATAATAGTCATTTACTATTTTTCCCAACAAAACTATGGAGAAGCATCATTTCATTAACTATAGAAATTAATGAGTCTTAATCAAGAAGAATGAAGATTTTCAACCCCCTAATTGCATTATTATAGGGGGAAAAAAAAATATTCTTCATCTTTGTTTAAAATCCTCTACTGAAAATAAACGAGAGAAAATCTGATTTGCGAAAGAAGATCTCTTCATTAATAAAAGAGAAAAGAAAAAAAAAATTATCTCAAAAAAAAAACCTTTAATTAGTACATAGGCTAAAGTTTTCTTCCTTTGTATTTAATCTAATGTTAATAAATTGTCGAAAGTTTATTCGAACAAAAGTCTTTCTATAAATCAAAGATTCTAAGGCAATTTACCATTCGTTTCTTCTTTTTCATTTTATTTCTTGGACAATTTTTCTGATTTTTCTCTTCTTTTTTTTCTAATATATATATATATATATATATATATAATCTTAATGAAAGATGAGTTCTTTATACAAGTCTTATTCTTTGTAAGATTTGTTATTCTTTCAGATTCGACAGAGAACAAAATGGAATTTTTTCTTTTACTTGAAACTACTTGTAAAAAATGATGAAAAATGAAATTTATTTCTTTTTTTTAAACAAATTATAAATACATTAAATTATTAATTAAACAAATTGTTCTAATAGAATTTTTCAGCCCTCAAAAGTAGCAAATCATCAAATTCTGATTTAGATCTTTTACAAAAAAAAAATTCAAGTTAAATTCAGTCATAAATTGCAGAAAATTGCACCTAAAACTAGCTTAACAAAATGGAAAACGTGAATGGTTGCAGTTTTGCAGAAAAAAAAATAGAAAGCTTATCGATTTTCTATTCATGCAAATTATTTGTCAAATTTATAATTTAATTTTTATCAAATGTCTGAAATTATTCATAAATTATAAACATTGTTGATAAATATATTTAAAAAAAGTACAAAAAAAAATTGTTTTCGAGTCGAGTATAAATAATTTATAGAATAACAATAAATATTTGAATAAAAATGAATTTTTATTTTTAAAAAATCGAAAACATATATTTATTTGGAATATTTTATTGTTAAATTTGTAAATATCAATTTTTTTGTTTTCCGAAATACATTTTTTTTTGAATAAATAACGATTCATATAAATATATACAGTATAATTATAATAAAAATGTGTTTTCATTTATAAACATGGATTTATATAGAAAAAGTGACCGAATTAAAAGGTTAATTAGCACAGAATGATGATAAACTTATATCCTCCGGATCTTGTCATTCGCTAAATATAATTCTCGTTTATTAAGAAAGAACTCGGTTTGAATTATTTCCATTGTCCTCAGATATTGATCTCAAAAGGAGAAATAAAAAAGTACAAAAGCAAGCATTGTATTCCGATTCAACGAATAATTTAGAATTAAAAGCAAAAAAAATATATGAATGAAATTGAATTTTTAAAAATAAGAAAAAAAATTGAAAGTATATTTTTATCTGGCGCATATTTTATTGACAGATTTATTAAATAGAGAGAAAAATTTAATATTATAGTAAATTGAATTTTTTTTTTTTTATACAAAAAATTTTCTTCTTGCTTTTGATATTAGAAGAGTAGAGAGGAAAAAAAGATTCAGTAATTTTTCAGTAGTAAAAAACAGTTTTAGTGAGACATAATGAATTTTCATATTTATTTTTATTTTACATTTCACCTTTTTCTGTTTTCTTTTTGTTTTTAGTATTTTCAGTAGTAAAAACAGTTCCAGTCAGACAGACGTTTGACAGTTTTTAATAATTTTTTCATCAGTAGTACAAGAAAGTTTTAGTCAGACTTGGTAATATTTTTTTTATATTTATTGTATTAAGAGCTCGATTACTTAGTTAATTTTCTGTAATTTTTTTAATTTTAATACAAGTAGTATAAGTTAGTTTAAGTCTGACGTAGTTAAATTTTTTAAACTGCTGTACAGTAGTGAAAGACGGTTTTAGTCAGACATATAATTTTTATTTTTAAAAATTGCAGTATTAGTACTCAAAATTTACAATTTATTATTTTCAGTAGTAGAAACAATTTTAGTCAGGCATAACTTTGCCAATTATTAATAAAATTCGTTTCAGTAGTACAAGTAAGTTTTAGTCAGACCTAATAATTTCCTTATATTTTTTTGTATTAAGTGCCATTATTACACTGTTAATTTCATATAATTTTGTTCGATTTCAGTATCAGTAGTACAAGATAGTTTTAGGCAGACATTAAAAAAATTTTTTTCTGTGTTCAGTAGTTAAAGACACTTTTAGTCAGACAAATCGTTTAAACTTTATCAAAATTTTAGCATAATTTTTCCAGTAAAAGAAAGTTGTAATTTAATTGAATTGTTACGAATTTTAGTAAGTAAAATAAATAATAATAATAAAGTTAATGAAAAATATATTTTATAATAATTAGTAAATTAAATGATATTTACCTTTGGATAAAGTGATGGTACCACCTGTTTCACGTCGCCACGTGACAGTCGGTTCAGGAATTCCTGTGGCTGCACATCGTAGCGTCACGTTGCTACCTTCTCGTACAATCATATCCGTGCTTGTGGGATAATCCAGGATATCCGGAGGCACTGAAACAATACCCTACATTGCAACATCGTCCATCCACTCGAATTCAAATATTATACGTCATATATATATATATATATAGACAGATATCACGAATGAGAATCGAAAATATTCTACGTGGACAGTACTTTGCGAATAGAACGCGAAATAGGCGGCTAGATATACCGTGGTCCATTGCATCATAAAACTTTCGAATCTGTATGAACCAGTCGTTTCCGCCTTCCCAAATGGCTTTTTAAAATCGGAATTGGAAAAAAATTGATCATCAGGGAAAAATAAAATAGAAAAAGAATGCAAATTTCGTGATACATTTACATATTTCCGCATGTTAACTCTTTCGAAAAAAAAACAAAATCTCGAAGGAAAAATATTTTTTTAATACTATTTATTATAACATTTGGAAAAAAATTATTTTATTCAATATTTGCCTTAAATTTTTATTACAACATCGACAAAAATAATTTTTTTCACCAAAAAAAAAAAAAAAAAATCATTAAAAATAAAAGAACACTATAGGTATTAAAAATAAATCGAATATATTATGTGGAGCAACCGAAATACAAAATCAATTACTAAAAATTGAATGTATAAAATTATCATTTGACCTTTCATCACAATAGTAGGTTGATTAATTTCAAATCGACAATTTCAGAAAGTTTAAGTGAATAAAAAAAAATTCATTTCTCTCAAACAATAAGATATTTATTGATCTTTATGATGCAATTGCCCTGAATTACAAAGAAAAATAATTTTATTCTCGTAAGGTCGAATTTCAAAAATAGTATTCATTTTTTAGTGAAAATCTAATTTTTTTTATAAAAAAAGAAATATATATATTTTCCACGGACAAAGTTAAAAAAATTACAATTAGTATAATAAATTGTCCTGATTCAAAAATCTCTCATTTAGCTAATGAAAGCTCTGCTTATTGAATAATGATAGCTAATTAAATGCAAAACATAAAATTAAATTTCATTCTATGTAAAGATAAAAATCTGCTAAAAAAAAATTTTTTTTTTCATTTAAAAAATATAAATGAAAATTAATTAACCGTATGAAAGCATTAAAAGATGAGAAATTTATTTATAAATGTAATTTTAATTAAATAAAAAAAAAAAGAAGAGAAATTAAAATCCTCTTTAGACTGCAATGGATATATATGACTTTTTATTATTCAATGATAATAGTATATAGATTCAATTATCATAACACGTAACTCCAATTTATTCATCATATATAACATGTATGTTGGAACATTTCAAAGATCATTATTTATTACTATCACGAATCTACAATAATAAATCACATTTTGACACGTCATTTTTTACACTTTTAATTTATCATTCGCTGAGTGTCGCGCTTCAAAATTGATAAATTCAACTAAAAGCACTTGATAAAGGTGTTTTAATTAGTTTAAAACGAAATATACGTACTTCGTTGAAAATTAATTTGACTAAGAAATGCTTTTCCTTCTCTCTTCAAAATTACTATCTTGATTCTATTAGTTAATGTATGCCATATATATATATATATATATATAGAAGCTTTCTTGCGAAACTTGTTTTTAAATATTATTTTATATAGAACGCGTACATTCTTTAAATAAATGTAAAAAAAATTCCAATTTAATTTAGGAAACAATGTTTCCATTGAGGTATAAATTTTAACAATTTATGTTTCTTTGATTTTTTTTTATATAACATCATTTTATTTTACATTTTTAATAGCAATGTTGATACAATATTTTATTACGTAATTTTATTTGATGAAAAATGGTAGAAAATATTCTGTTCAACTGCGAAAACAGTAACTTGTTTTTATTTATATAATATTTATTTTCTCAATTAAATAATAATTAAAAATATTTTAAAATTAAAATTTTCAATTTTAAAAAATGCAAAGGATTCACATTTTATTATTATCAAATATATAAATTAATAGTTAAATAAATAATAAATATTACTTAGAAGATTTCGTATGAATAAAAACGATAACATTAGGATCATTCTTGTTTAATAAAAGTTCGAAATCTACATGATTTCCTCTTCAGGGAGTCAAAATTAAAACAATGTGAAATCATAGAGTCAATTGTAGTGTCAAATTTTAGTAAAAATAAAAACAATTTTATTTTTACTAAAATTTGACACTACAATTGACATTGTTTTAATTTTGACTCCCTGAAGAGGGAAATCATGTAGATTTCGAAAAGTTGGAGTGAACTTTTATTAAACAACAATGGTCCGAATGTTATCGTTTTTATTCATACAAAACCTTTTAATTAATAATACACTCAGAAAAAAATTCGTTTGAAGCAACTAAATTTTGGTTAAATCAACAAAATAAATGCATTGATATACAGTTAACCAAACATTTGGTTGCATAAACCAAACGTTTATTTAGCTCAATCAAATTTTTTCTTTGTTCAATTTTATTAAAATAAACCAAACAGTTATTTAGATCAAATAAATATTTATTTGAATTAAACAAATTTTGTTTCAACTAACCAAAAAATTGGGTAAATATAAAAAAATGATACATTTGGTTCAAAGATATCTTTTTTCTGAGTGTATAATTCTCGGACATTAAACATTTTAATAATAAATATTACAATATTTATTATTTAATTAATTGATAATTTTGCATTGCATGCAATCGTCAGCAACATTTATCTGAGAAACTAATTGTGAAAAAAAAAAAAAATTAAAATAAAAAAACGTATTTTCATTTGTCATGATCGTGATGTGCGTTCAAACACACACTATATTTGGCAGAGCGATTTTTAAGATGAAACGAGTGCTCCTTTTTAGTCGCTCGTCTTATAGATCTTGAATGAAATCCGGAACCTGACATAAATCGAGGTCGAAAGTTCTTTACAAATGTTCTCTCTTACCCGTCGCGCCAGTGTGCAATAAAACGGGCTAACCATTCGATCGATAAACGAGGATCGAAAGAAGAAAAGAGGTATATATATATATATATATAAAAGGGGGAAAAGTGAGTATAGGACGATCTCTTATTTTCGCACCTCGATAACCTGACCGGCTGCAACTCCATCGTGATAAGGGTGGAAATTTAACGAGGGGTTGCGGTTGAGGTTAAACTACGTTTATGTACACTGACTATAATATACGCGATTTCCACACACATTTCTTGGCTGTGTGTGAAAATATATGTATATATATATATATATATATAATACACTAAAAGAGGGAGGATAGTCTCGAGGAGGCCAGGGTGGGTTATTAGGGCCAAAGGCACGTCGCCAGGAAGGTGTTTAATAGCCCTCCAAGAGTGCAATCGTCTACCGGCCAGTGTATAGCATACTTTACATATATTTGCATGGAACCGTCGTCTTCTCTCTCTCTCTCTCTCTCTCGAAGGAAGAAAATGCTCGGTTTTTGCACGAATGCGTGTCTTTATATATAAAGCAATGCATTAAAAAAAATAACTTTTAAAAATTTTCCTCATATTCTGTTCACGAAAAAAAAAAACGTTTATAAGCCTTGGTAAAATTAAGTTTGACAAAGTTTTGAAATTCCCTCCCCCTCCTGTCAGGGGGAAAATTTAATGGCGTGCTATACTCCTAATAAGAGAACCCTTCTCTAATATGAGACCCCAGGATTTCCTCTGGCGTATTACACACTATATCCTTTATTTTGCGACAATCAAATGCAATTTACCCAGGTGAAAAAATTAACGTTACTAACGTTACTTATGTTACTAATATTACTAATGTTACTAACGTTAGTACCTATATAAAAAAATTAAAAGTTTCTAAAATATATTTTCACAGAAACTTTGCCACTACTTTCCTATTTCCACTTTCACTTTCACTTCCACTTATACTTTTTTAATTTTCATTTCCATTTTCACTTCTACTTTTTCTAATTCTAATTCGCACTTCCATTCTCACTTCTACTCTTTCTAATTCTCATTCGCACTTCACTTCCACTTTTTCTAATTTTCATTCCCATTTCCACTTCCACTTTTTTATATTCATTGCCACTACCACTTTTTCTCATTCTCATTCACACTTTCACTTCCACTTGTTCCAATTTTCATTTCCATTTCATCTTCCACTTTTTTATTTTCATTACAACTTTTTTATATTTTCACTCCAACTTCCATTCCTAATTTTTTAAATTTTCATTATCACTTACACTTTTTCTAATTTCCATCCATGGTAATTAAAAAAAGTGGAAATGGTTGTGTAAATGGAAATTAAAAAAAGTTTTAGTCGAAATGGCAACAGCTAATGAAAAAAGAGAAGTAGAGAAAATGGGAGTAGAAGTTGGAATGAAAATTAGAAAAAGGGAAATGGGAATAAAAATTAGAAAAAGTGGAAGTGGAAGTGGTAATGAAAATAAAAAAAAGTGGAAGTGAAAGTGGAAATGAGAATTAGAAAAAGTGGAAGTGGAAGAGGTAATGAAAATAAAAAAGTGGAAGTGAAAGTGGAAATGAGAATTAGAAATAGTGGAAGTGGGAATGGAAGTGCGAAAGAGAATTAGAAAAAGTGAAAGTGGAAACGGTAATGAAAATAAAAAAGTGGAAGTGATTATAGAAATTAGTATTAGTACATTAGTAACATTAGTAATATTAGTAACGTTAGTAATGTTAATTTTTCTACCTGGGTTAAATGAAATTATTAATAAATATTTTTTGTTTGTAAATTAAAAAATAAAAAAATAAAAATTTGTTCTGTTTTTTTTAATTTTATTTGAATGTATTTTTTTTAAATATTCAAAAAGAACAAAGAGATAAAAAAAATTGATATATCTCTTACCGACAACTTCCAGGAATCCTGTAATACTCGACATTGGATCTGTATTCACTTGACACATGTACCAACCTCTGTCAGTCTCTTTTGTATCTTTTATATGTAAAGACCATGTTCGATGTCCAGAGTGTGTCACAACGATTCGATGATTTTTCGTGATAACATGAGTAGCAATGGTCAAAATTGTTTGCGTGTCTACTCGCAACCATGCCACCTGCAAATAACAGAAAATCAATTTCTCAGTTGAAAATACATATGAATATTTTACACAATTCAAAATATCTCTGATCCAAACATCAAAAACTTTCAATCACTTGACATTTTTTATTTTTTATTTTTTTTTAAATGAACAAATTGAAAATAAATTGAATTCTCTTTTGTCATTTGATTAATAATTTGTTTTTTTCACTTTACAGTTCTGTCAAAAACAAACCACAATAAAAAAATTTGTTTTTTTCTTGTAAAATAATTGTCTCTTGAAAAATTGAAATATTTTCAAATATACATAAATTATTGTTTCAAATACAATTTATGTCAAATAAAAATTATTTGATTCAATTAAATAATTACATATAATAATCGTGAATATCTTTCGTTCATTCTGTCCACACCTGAAGTTAGTATTTGTTATAGGTCTTTTGTTTTTTTTAAATGTATTGTTTGACATTATTTTGTGTTGGTTGAAATTTTTTAATGTTTTTTTGGCATTGTTTCGATAATTAATTTTGAATCGAAATTTTAAAAAATAATTGAATTTTATTTTATTTTAAATTGAAAACTTGGTAAATAATTGAATTTTAAATTGAAAATTTGAAAATAATTTAATTTTAGTTGAATGTTGATTGAAAATTTGAAAATAATTAATTTTAGTTGATTGCTGATTGAAAATTTTGATAATAATTAATTTTGACTCGAAATTTTGGAAAATAATTAAATTTTAATTGAAATTTTGGATAATAATTTAATTTAAGTTGATTTTGGATTAAAATTTCGGGTAATAATTGAATTTTAATTGAAATTTTCGATAATAATTTAATTTAAGTTCATTTTTAATTGAAAATTTCGATAATTAATTTTGAATAAAAATTTTAAAAAATAATTGAATTTTATTTTATTTTAAATTGAAAACTTGGTAAATAATTGAATTTTAAATTGAAAATTTGGAAAATAATTCAATTTTATATATAATTTAATAACATATAATAATAATTTTCATTATTATCATTTAATATGAAATAATATTCTAATAAATTTAAATTATTATTGATAATATTAATCTTTAATTTCTTTATAACAAACAATTAAATACTCAATTTGGCGCGCTTGCGCGCGTTTAATATTGCTAGTTTATTTAATTATTTAAAACAAATAAATTTTTTTTTTTACAGTTTAACTGGTAAAATTATTGCTTACTATTGTCAATTGTCTTTTGCAAAAAAAAAAAAATGTGATTTATTGAAATTCATTATTATCCTATAGGCTTAAATAAATTTATCTTAACTAGTTGGAAAACTATTTGAATTAAATTCTACTGTGAACTGCTTTAAATTCATACTGAAATTTTCAAGAATTACTTAGTGAGATGGTGCGAAGTTATTAGTAGATACATTATTATTCAAGAAGTACTTTACTGGTAGAAGAGGAAAATTGCTCGGCCGTATAGGAATCTGTCGCGGTAAATTCTACTTTAGAAGTTTTGACAAAACTTCTTATACGAGAGAACTATAAAGTCGACTTTACTTCTCTTTTATTTTAAAAGGTGTCCTGAATTATTTTTCTCGTTAAAATTATCCTTGGACAAAGCCTATTTGCAAGCTTGCCTTATATGACATATAGATGCACTCAGGAATAATAAGCAGATCAACTTTTTTTCTTTTTCCTCTCGAAAAGGGCTTAAAACATCATTTTCATAAAATAGATGGAGATTTTAAAAAAAATCCAATATGTCACATTTTTATATAATTATATGAAAAAAAAATATATATATTCAACGATGCATTAAAAATAATTAGAAAAATCTTTTCAGTGAGATTAGAATATGTCGTTTATTTCTGATTTTAATCGCAATGAGATATATGTAAAAAGAAAAAGTTGAAAGAAAGAAAGAAGAGATCTTTCTCAAAAGAGGATTATCAAGTTTTCAAAGCCCAACCGCAATGTGTCTGTTCCAGATCGTTGAAAACTGAAAAGAGAATTGTCACTTTTTTGCCAACAATGCAATTTTTTTTGCTCGTCACAATATATGAATCGACAATAATAAGCAACGAATCAATCAGTGTTATTTTTTCGATTTTTATTTATTTTTTTTTTAAATAGATCTATTGTCTAATATACACAGAGAAAATTGTGTTTAAAGAAGTGTGAAGATGAATCAATTCAATTATAGAAAAGTCAAAAGCAAAACGAGAGAGTAAAAATGCGATACAAATTAATGGAGGAAAAGTACTAAACGAGATCTGCATCTCTGTTAGTGACGTAACAGGAAATAAAGACCCTTGTTCATGAAACTCTCTCTCTCTCTTGTATTCTTTTCTTTTTTTCATCTGCACTGTAGGTTAGCAGTTTTACATTCCCTGAACATAAACTTTCTATCCAAACGTACAATTTTTATCGTTATTTTTCGCTGCCAAGCATTTGGATTTTTATATTCTTCGTATTGTTTGTATACATTTTGCCAAGGTTTCCTTTCGATTCAGATTGAATAATTACTTTCACCTACGTTCAATACAAGTTTGTTTTTCTTCTTTTTCTTCTTCATTTCCTTGTTTTAAAATCCTTTATTGTCTTTAAAAATACATATATTTACTTTTCATTCCCCATTTCAAAACCTTCTCGTATATTTTCATATACCACATTGTAAAATATCGACATTCCTTTTTTTTCCATATATAATAAATATGAATCCTGAAAAGGGATGTTAAATATAATATATACAATTTTTTTTTTTTATAAACCATATACACACAATTTCTTTCGCGACATGAAACTTAAAGAAAAAGTTTTTCTTTTCAAACAAATTGCAAAGATTTTCGTCTTCTTTTTTTTTTGCATTATAATGCTACATTTACAAAGTGTATAACATGTGGTAATTTCCTGGCGTACAATCAAAAATTCAAAAAGCAAAATGTGTCAATGGAGTTTTCTGAAGAATGCGCGGCGTTGGATCGCTGAACTGGAAAGATAAAAGTATACACTTAAATATGTTGATATATACGTTATTCAGAATTTTTCTCCCGCGTGAACATAAAAGCAATGTGTAAATGATGCAGGAGGCAAAAAACAAACAAAGAATCCAAAAAAAAAATAAAACAGAAAACAACACTACTTTTTTTCTTATTTTCCTTATTCAGTCATTCATATATTTTCTAAAAATTCCACTTCAGTTAGTTGGTTTTTCAATGTTTTAAATTCACTGGAAAAAAAAAACCACGGCAAACATGAATTTTCCTACTAATTCCACGATTATTGAAATTGTACTCATTTTCATGAGAAAAATGTTCACTGGCAAAGAAGAATTTTTTTTTTAAAAAAAGAAGGAATAAAAAAAAATGTGTAAATTGCATATACTTGAAAAATATGAAAAATTTATTAAATTAAAATAAACATCAATTTTTTTTTTAATTAAATATTTTTTTTAACTTTATTACTTTTATAATAGAAGTCATTTTCCTTTTTATTCAAGAGAATTTTTCCATTATTATATACATTTTTTTTTAAATAAATTTTTTTAATATAAATTTGTTTAAAATAAAATTTTTCCACAAAATAAATACGATATTACAAACAAATGAAAGTTATATTTCACAGCTGAAATATTATGTGTAAAAATTTGAAATAGATTAATTGAAAATGAATTTTTATTAAACGATATTTGAATTCATATATAAAAAATATGAATATATATCGAATTTATTGTCAAGGCAGGGAAATATTGCATTTGATAGAGTAAATCACAATACGATGGAAGGATTTAACGAGTTTGGTAGACTATTTTTCAAAGAAAATATATATATGAGGCTGTGTTATTAATTGTTCTGTTCGTTGGAATTTTCACGCTCTCGTTGACGGATATCCGGTTGATTTTGCGGTTAACTCACGAGTTAATATCAAAAGTTTTTTTTTTTTTTTTTTTTGTGACAAAATTATATATTGCTGCAATAAATGTTAAAAAAAGGTAAATAAATCAACAAATAAATAAATAAATAAAAAAAAATATAAAAATATAAAAATAAATTATAAAATATATAAATAAAATAAATCTATAAATAAATAGATTGCTTTGATTTTGAGCGTTCACCACAAGTTCACCCAATTTCTACTATATAGTTGGGGAAATAATTAACCTGAAATAATTGTCCCGATTCTGTTACACGTACAATACAACGAACCGATTTCGATCGTTACATATTCACTTTGAATCCTTTCAATGGCTTTAATCCTCTCAGATTGCTTGGTTCTGTTACATTTGAAGACCGCAGGCAAATATCCTGCGAGCGAGGCAGAAAGAGGGAGACAGAGAGAGAGAGAGAGAGAGAGAGAGAGAGAGAGAAATTCCTGCATTCAAACAGACAGCAGTCAGCAGTCAGCATGATTCGAATCGTGGTCAACTGTTACATTTATCAACCTAAAATCGCTCGAATTGTAGAACACTGGAGTATTTCAGTCAAAACAATTACTGATATATGGTCTATATGACAATCAATATTTGGAAAATCCTCTCATATCCTCATGATACAGTTTATAGAAGAATATATAACTTCAAATTGGAAAATTAGCAAAAATTAAACTAAACTAAAATATAAAAATTACAAAAAATTATAATATTTATTTGTTTGACTAAAAAGTTTTTTTTTACTACTAATATCAAGAATTTCAAAAATAAAATGTTATGTCTGATTAAAAAAATTTTTACTACCAATTTTATCAGATTTTAACATAATTTAATAAAATACTATGTCAGACTAAAAACGTTGTTTACTACTGAAAGTCGATTAACAAGAAAATAAAATAGTTGTCTGACTAAAAAATTTTTTTACTACTGATTTAATCAAATATTAACAAAATTAAATACTATGTCTGACTGAAAATATTGTTTACTACTGAAACCAGATTAACAAGAAAATAAAATAGTTGTCTAACTAAAAATTTTTTTTACTACTGATTTAATCAAATATTAACAAAATTAAATACTACGTCTGACTAAAAATATTGTTT